GGTTACCGATAATTTCTTTCAAGTATTTCTTGTATTCTCTTAGAGGAAATACTATGATCTGCAGATGATTGATAAGAAGGGGGGGCTGACTGGAATAGCAGCAGGAGGAGCTGATGGCTAAGGTGGAGGTTCAGTCCCCAGTCTATGGAACGCTGCACACTTCTAGCTTATCCGGTGTCCAAATTTAAGCTATTCAGTATCATGTTGTTTTGGATTCCAATATCCTCATTGTTTCTAATACCCTAAAAAAAAATAACAGTATTTATGATCAGACTGACCTTTTTCTACTTCACTCTTCCCAGGAGTATATAAAGAAAACCAACCAATTAGAAAGGGAGGTACTAGCACCTCCGCTGCACTCCCACCAGATGTGCTTTCGTAGCCATCCCTTCCAGAGATGTGAACAGGGTTCACATCCTTCGGAAGGTCTAAGAGGAGTAGTTAGAGAAAGGCCCAACTTGCCTCAGCTCAATCACTCTGAGTTCCTCATCTCTGCAGGATTCAGCTGATGAAGAACACCGTTTATCTGGGGGTAATTTGCTAGAAAAACAAGGCTTTTGGCATCTAAACCTCCAGTACATCACAAACTTCCTGCTATTATCTAATAATACCCCCCCAGCCATCACTGTTTCCATGGTAACCGACAGAGAAATAGCAGCCTGCCAAATGGCTTTTGTAGTTCCTTTTCCAGTTTGTTTTTCAGTAAAGAATTAAAGCTAGCTGGGAAAAGAACCAGACTAATCTTTGCAAACAGGGACACCATGTAGTTTGAAAAGCACAACTGGGTTTGGTTCAAGAAATATGGAAAAGCTCTGATGAACCCCGCCTGATAGAATAACAAAGGTCTATTGAAATCTATTTGGTAAGCTTTACCTTGGTCTTAAGACTGTATAGCATGACACTGGCCAGAACATAGATACAGAAGATCACTCGGTCTTTGATCTGAATCAGACAAATTAAAGGACTGGAGTGAATGGAAGAGCCAAGCCTACTATGTACCCACATGCCTTACTCTCATTAAAGACAATGGAAATTTACTGTAAAATCAAAATGAATACACAGGAGTTGGCAGACTTGAACTAAAGGACAGTGGAAAAAGGATAAGTATCTTGGAGGAGTCAAATATTTAATTCCAGGGATGATGTAGGCATGCACCCGACTGAGCCAAGCGTATGAATCAGAGGGGCCCCGGTGTTTAGGAAACAAAGATCTCCTTACCATCCTAGAGCAGGGAGAAATTGTTAGGATTACAGTTTGTGGAACTGGGGCAGCTTTCAGAAGATCAGCAGCTCCAGAGATCTGCTCCAGGTGCCAGATTGCAAAACAAATAGCTGCTGCAGGGGTGAAAGAGTTTGAAATTTTAAAAAATCAAGACTAATTTGCTTTGAAAATGGCCCCAAAGAGATAATGTTGTTTTGCCTCAAAACTGCACACTTAAATGATGTGCAGGAAATCTCAGGACTCTTCCATGTCTGCTTCAGATGAGACATTTGACTCAAGAAAACCAGGTCTTATCTTCTCCTCTGATGGGTCAAAGCTAACAGGAGTTTGACAGATGCCCTCCTACAACCTTTAGTATACTCCAAATGTTTTGTTGACAGACATGAAAGTTACAATGGATCGTGGCATACTGAGACAGGCCTCTGACAGTTACAGGAAGTCAGACTCATACAAGTCCCACACGGAAGACTAACCCAATTCATACTTTTTAATTTATGCTTTTACTTTGGATTGTATGAATCATGAGTCATGTCTCAGAGTTATCACCTGATTTTAGAGAGAAAAATAAACAAAGACTTACAATAACTATTTCCTTTCAATCCTTCAGAAAAAGATCATTTATAAGATAAAGACAATGTACTCTGGGATACATTTCTAAGGCTGTCAACTCAGACAAAGGCTCCTGTACTTCTAGTCTAGCTACATTTATGGATTTGGATTTTTAGAATCCATTAATGAAACTTGAAGGAGTCTTTTCAAAAGCTTAAACTTGTTCTCTGTTTGAGTGGAACTTATAGGTTCTGAAAAAAGTCATTTTTAAACTGTGTTTACTAAAGCGTGATTATAATTTCAAGTATGTTAACATTCTATTTCCCTATCTTAAACAAAAGCCAGAATTGAGAGGATATACAAAAATTGCATCAAATTCAGTCATGGTTAAGACTAGGCCAGAAGCCAAAACTTACTAAAGTCAATAACCTGAGGTACTGACATGTTTATTTTCTTCCCAAATCTGTTTCCCCAGCCAACTTTGTTTCAAAATCTCAAAAAAATTGCCTTATTAGATCTGTGTTTTCAACAAGGTAGCTACCATAGTTATCATGCATATTGCTTTGCTACCAGTAAATAATTATGAGAACTTGACTATTTTTAAGTGTTTCAGAGCCTGTGCTTTCATTTGTGTTCATCAAAACAGATTCCAAGAAAGCTGAAGAGAAGAGAAAGTTTTAGTGTGGGATATGGGCCAATCTCACTCTTAAACACAGATTTTGTTCCAAACAAGTTATTCCCAGAAACAATGCTATACGTAGTAGTTATGTTCTTTTTCCACACATTAACCTGTAATATAACTGAATTACCAAAAAACAGCTCTTGATCATCATGCCTTATATTTGAGAAAATGAAGAGCTTCAGCTGCCTGGATCTGAGAAGAAATGAGGTATTTCTGGGCATCAGAAGATAGTTAATGGGCCCAGTGTGGTGGCCCACGTCTGCAATCTCAGCATTCTGGGCAGCCAAGGCAGGTAGATTGCTTAAGCTCATAAGTTTGAGACTAGCCTGAGTGAGATGGAAACCCTGTCTCTACTAAAAATGAAAAAAATCTGAGGCAAGAGCCTCAGAGCTTGAGCCCAAGAGTTCCAGGTTGCTGTGAGCTATGAGACTCTCAACCCAGGGCAACAGAGTTAAACTCTGTCTTAAAAACAAAAAACAAACAAAAATGATAGTTAATGCTTAATAGTTGGAAATGGCTTCTATAGTAAAAATAATTAACCAGAACACATCCTTGGGGGATTCTTAAGCTCCTAATCTATAAACAGGCCAAACATTTTTCTTTTTTTTTTTGAGACAGAGTCTCAAGTCTCATTATGTCACCCTTGGTAGAATGCCATGGCATCACAGCTCACAGCAACCTCAAACTCTTTGGCTTAAGTGATTCTCTTGCCTCAGCCTCCCAAGCAGCTGGGACTACAAGGCGCCCGCCACAACACCCGACTATTTTTTGTTGCAGTTGTTGTTTTAGCCGGCCTGGGCTGGGTTCGAACCCACTATGCTACGGGTGCTGAGCTGGGCCAAACGTTTTTTTAAAAGGGTGCAGTAATGGTGAATGTATGTGTGTAAAGAAACAAATACTTAGCCACAAGGAAAGCCTGTAAAAAACCAAAGACTGGGATCATACCAAAGATTATATACACTATACATTGTTTGCCAATCAGGATGCCTCAGGCTAACTCTAGCAGGAAGGCATAGCACTAAGCATGTGCTAGATGAGCTCCAGAAGGAGAAAGGCGATTTCATCTTACTCATCACTGCAAGAGCCACAGGTCCCAGGACCACACCTGGCAAAAAGTTGATGCTCCATATGTTTAACTTGAGAAGAAGGTCTAAACCTAAATAATGAGACACACAGTGCTTCTCTGCTTTATATAACTAAGGGCAAGATGAGTTCTTCACATGTGTGAACTTGGTATTTAACGTCTATGGTTTACAGAAGTAGAACCATACCTAAAGAATATAGCAAAGGTTGGGTTGTCTGATTCACAAGTAGTATTCCTTGGTGCGTGAGAAGGCTGCTTGCCAGTGTAACAGTGAAGGCCATTCACAGTGCTCAAGGAGCAAGTTCACTCAATAAGGCACTGGCAACAGACGATGCCCTACTAGTGACCAAAGTTTCTGCGTAAACAAAAGCAAAGAAACTAAGCAATGGAAATTACACCAACAAAAGGACGTTAATGGCATATATACAAAATAACACAATATGCTTTCAAATACCATGCACAGAAACTCAAGAATACGTAAGGGGGAAAGCACCCAGTCTATTAATTGCATTCGTAGAGAAGTATATTCGATACAGAGCAAACATGAGCACTGACTGACTAATGATGATGTGGTCTGGATTAGGTCATATTTAAAAAACAGCCTATTAGCTAGTTTTCCACACTGACTGGGTCTGATTTAATGTTATAAGGCAAATCATCAAGAATTTTGGTTAGGAAAAGACAGAAACACTGGAAATAAGATAATTTGGTAGAGGTTTGCTCTTTTCTTGGAGTTCTTTCTACCTCAGTCCTAAGGTACTATGCTTTTGCCACTTTCAATTCAAAAATAATTAAAACCCTTGTATCCCTCAAATGTCATACAATCTGGGTAAGAGCTGAGGTGGAACACTGACGTTATCATACGCTAAGTTTAGTCACTGCTTTTCTACCTGAATGTGGACCGATTTCCCCTCTCTGAAAGAGTTACAGATCCACCTTCATTTCAGGAGAAGGCTGAGAAGAACCGAAGACGCACGTGGTGCCCCCTTACAGGGAAGCAGCCACATCTCCCCGAGGAATGCTCACAGTGAAGTCTTCTTCGGGGACATCTCCCTTGTGCCTCCTTCCTTTTCCTTCTTGCCCCCACTAGCTTGAGTCATCCTTTCATAATCTCTTCTTCTTAGCATTTACCACAATTATAATTATTTAAGTAATTAGCAGTATCTGTCCACCCCCACTAGACTGTATCTACATGAGGACAGGAACTGTCTCTGTTCTTTCCATCAATGGAAATGAGCCCCCAGCACAGGCACAGGACCAGAAATTCCTGTTGGATAAGTAAATGAATGAATGGGCACTCTGAAAGCCAAAGGATAACCATGGGTGAGCCATCAGCTGAAAACGTTTCATCAACAGAATGTGTGTTTCTATCCTCTAAATCTGAAAGTAGGAGCTTTTAGGAGCTCTGCTTCTTTCACAGAATAATGGGAGGCAGGAAGAGCATAAGAAAAAAGGAATACTCACTGGCGGTGGCTTCTTCCTCATCTCAAAAGTGCGTGTGGCACCGAAACTGAGTGAAGCAATGATGGGGCACCTCCCGAGTGAGGGTTCATCGTCGCTGTGCCAGTCCACGCTGTCCTTCTCGTTTCGGTAAAGATTGCAGAGTAAGGAGTTGAAGGTGTGGCCAGTGTTCTCTTCAATGCGGTTCTTCAGGGTGCTCAGCACAGGATGCCACTGCAATCAACAGGCCAGGCAAAGGGCAGAGACAGTCACATTAGACACGAGGTGGCAGCAGCATGGAAAAACAGGGCAATATCAGTCCACTCATAAGCAGGGCCCGGAATAAGCAGACCACTTGGAATGCAATAAACTGAAAGCAAGAAGAGTAGTGTGATTCCTTCCTATCATATCCACTTTGAAGCAAGTTGACTTCTGCAATTTTATTAAGGCACTAAGTTTATAATACCTAATTTTGCAAGGTACTAAATATAGCAATGTCATGAGGACCAGGGTCTGTCTATGCACCTCATCCTTTTCCATGAGCCTTTCAAAGAAGCAAATGTCAATATACTCAGGGAAGTGACCTTGATAAGTCATTAAGGTGGTAAGTGGAACAGTAAAGCAGATATGCTGCCAGGTAGGTAGCAGACCCAGACCGACATCTGAAAAGCGAAACAAATTTCCTACCAGCTGGCTCTCTGTTCCGTCTATCCCTATTTTATCTGGAATGGCAGAATTGCCTTTTAAAAAAGATATTTAGTACTTCCAGAGTGGCTAACTTCCTAAAAACAGAACCTAAAAGAGAAAAACATCCTTTGCTACAGAATAGGAATCATGACAGGCTTTAACGAATGCACGGACTATGAACTACAGAAGATCTACACAGATCCCACAGCCCCACCTCCTGGGCAGTGAGTTCACTTATGTGGTTTATATTTGGAACTGTCTTGCCAGGCATACTACAGGAAGCTATGATCCGTGACCTGGGATTGTACTTGGGACCTATAAAGAGAATAGTTTGTACTGGCTCTTACTAGAATTCTATGTCTTTCTTCCCAGAAATCCCCAGTGCTTTACAGAGCTTCCTTTAGAACAGCAGTTCTAAAACTTCACACTATTAAAAATAACTGGGAACTCCTCAGAACTTCTGTTTACAAAGGTTATAGCAATTGTTAGTTATATTTAAAATGAAAATGGAAAAAAATTTAAATACTGTTTTGAAATGCAATAACAGACCCATTACATGATAGCATAAATATATTTTTAAACAGCTATAATTTCCAATAAAAAATGGTGAGAAGAATGACATTGTTATGCAAATGTCCTTAATGTCGGACTTAAGAGAAGATAGCTGATTCTCCTATCTCCTTCTGCATTCAATCTGTTCAAACAGGTTATTTTATTGACACATATGAAGAAAATGAATAATTCATTATTATTTTGAATGATGTTAGCTATTATTCTTTGATATTATACCAAAATTCAACAAGTGCTGATTTCTTTTTTTTTTTTTTTTGAGACAGAGCCTCAAGCTATCCCCCTGGGTAGAATGCCATGGCATCATGCTCACAGCAACCTCCAACTCCTGGGCTCAAGCGAGTCTCCTGCCTTAGCCTCCCAAGTAGCTGGCACCACAGGCGCCCGCCACAACGCCTGGCTATTTTTTGGTTGCAGCCATCATTGTTGTTTGGCAGGTCCAGGCTGGATTCGAAACCACCACCTCAGGTGTATGTGGCTGGCACCTTAGCCGCTTGAGCCACAGGCGTGGAGCCAAGTGCTGATTTCTTAAAGTTAACTACAATGTAGAATCTAAAACCAAAGCAAACTTTTCTTTTTTTATATATATTTAAGTCCACTGGTCCAGCTTGCCTTGGAAGGGATCTTTAACCTTGTATGATTTTGTAACATCAACCATTGGTCACCTGGAAAAGTATTAGTTCACTGAATTATACATACCAGTATCTTCTACATGTTGACACATTTCATTATTCAATAACAAAAAGTCCTATCTGTTTTTACCATTGATCTCATCAGAAAAGTCCAACAGGAAGAGATTAGGCTTAAAGTGGCAGGTATCAGTTTTCTGAAATTCTAATTTTTGCTTGAAAACTCAACTTTTATCAATCACTTCACTCATTTACGAGAAAATATCTGCTACATGCTCAAGTTTTAATAATGGTAGTCTGTTTTCCAGTTGTCTTCTAGGTAAAAATGGACCATAAAGAAAGTAGCTAGTTCAGCTTACGGCTCAAATGATCACACTTTAATTTGGAGCAAGAATGCTTAAGGCATACCTTCATTTTCATCAAGAAAATCATTAAGAAGACATTTACTCAGAGACTCAGAGTAAAACTAATAATGTTTACTGCTTCACCAAGGGGCATTCTTAACCGAAACAATCATTTACAAAACTTTAAATTGGAAGTGCCCGGTGATGAAGAACACAATGACTCCTAGTACAGTTTGATGACAATGGCTTGATTCATGCCAAGACGCCAGCTGTTTTATCCACTGTTACTTTCATACCATTAGTGCAAATTCGACACAGTGAAAAATGTCACTTTTTAAAAATATTATTACAAAAATAATTTTACTTGTGGATTCCCAAAAAAGGGTTTCCCCTCCAGGGATCCAAAGACCATACTTCAAGAACTCCTACTTTACAGAACACCTCCAATGTCTATGTTAGTTATCTGGTAGTGAAGGAATGGAAATTTGGCAAAGGATAGATGATGGTAAGCATGTCCCGTGGCTGCTGTCAGGTAAAAGTGCCAGGGAAGCATGTGTGAGAACCACTCAGTTTTACTATGATGCGAAACCATGGTTAAAGCTGGAATTCCCTGTTGTGGATATTAGTATTACATTCTAAGCAGAGGATTTTAAAAAATAAACAGCACCAACAACAAGATAGTTGGTCAATGACACACCTCGAGAGACTAAGGAAGCCTTTGGAAGCTGGAAGTTTCTGCATCTCTCTTTGTTGTGGTAGAAAATACATAACATGAGATCTACCCTCATTAAACAAAAAAGTTATGAAACTAACCTCTGTTGAAGAGAATAAATTCCAAGTAAAATTCCAAAAATAATGTCAGAAAGCTGTATTTCTTAATTATTTTGCAGCTTCAAACATACCTTCATGGAGATAAAGATCAGATGCTAGAATTATACACTTAAAGAGAAAAACAAGAATGAAAAAGAGGAAGATAGCTTTTCTACAATGTGACTGAATCTAATTAGCACTTCCCTGACTTGCTTAGGGACTAAGCACTATAATAACATCAAGTTTGCATTATGTTTCTAAGTAGGCTTTTTTTCCCTTGGTTATTTTTGGTGGTGAAGTACAGAGAAAAGGGAAAAAAGGAGGGGGATAATGAACTAGAGGATTAATTTAGACTCTCCAACCAATACTCTATATACAGAGCCCTCAGAACTGAACGTCTAAATTAAAATTCAGCATCATCTCACTGTTCAGTGAAGATATTCTATCCTTAAAAGACATTTGAGGAAAAGAGTACAAGAAAATATGAATCATGGAAGTAAAAGATCTATTCAGTTTATTTCAAACACGGTTTTATAGGGCACTGGTTACCACAGTGGTACCTCTGGGTCTACTGCCTACAGAGAATGGAGAGGTCAAGTTGGTGGAACTCCCGGCCGGCCGGCCATGGCTTTGATCTGTGTATACATTGTGTTTATGTAGATTTAGTTTGAACAAAGATGAAAAGAAATTTAAAAACCTATGATTAAACAAACCTACCCTATTCCTGTGGGATAATAAGCTTAAAAAGAGTAACAATTTTTAAATTAAACAACTACCCCCAACATACATATACACAACAAACACACACACTAGTGCACCCTCCTTTAAGAAAATCTGAGAAGGGAAGCTCTTATGATTTTGTTCAAGACAGTATCTAAATGAACTAAACCTATTAATAATAAACACAAATTCTGGTCAAATCCAAATTAAAGAATTTTGCTTTTTAGCCAGGCATCACGGTGGGCAATTGTAGTCCCAGGTACTCAGGAGGCTAAGGCAGGAGGAGCATTGCTTGAGTCCGAGAGTCTGAGGTTTAGTGAGCTAGGCTGATGCCATGGCACTTTAGCCTGGGGCAACAGAGTGAGACTATCTCAAAAAAAAATTCTAATTCGATCACCTTAATATCCAGCCATACATGGTTGTTTGAATAAGTTCTGGTAAACACAGATTATGGAATACTGTGCAGCTATGGAAGACGACGTTGTAGAAGACTATTCGATGACACTGTAACATGTTAATGATACACAGTTAAATGAAACATAATTTATTTGAATTTTACAGAAAAAAGATTCTCTATTTTCCTAAATAAAAAAGACTAAAACTAAAATATTAAGTGTAAGGACTATCAAAAATTTTAATATTCTTCTTCGTGCTTATCTGCAGTTTCTAAATTTCAATAAGCATATATTCCTTTTTTTTTTTTTTTTTTTTTTAGACAGGGTCTCACTCTGTTACCTGGGCTAGAATGCAGTGGCATCACCATAGCTGGTGGCAACCTCAAACTCCTAGGCTCCAGTGATCCTCCTGCCTCAACCTCTTCAGTAGCTGGAACTACTGGCATATAACACCATGCTTGGGTTAATTTTTTTTTTTCCATTTTTTGTAGAGATGTAGTTTTGCTATATTATTGCTCAGGCTGGTCTCAAACTCCCAGCCTTGAGAGATCCTCCAGCCTTCCAAAGTGCTAGGATTACAGATTTGACTCACTACACCTGGTCATTACTTACATTTTTAAAAAAAAGGACTGTCATAAGAAATTTCTTTGGAACAGTTGTCACAATGTTCCCAAAGTGTCAAAAAATAAGAGGTTACTTTACTCAGCTGATACTGTGTACCTTAAAAGTCTATTCTGAAAGACCAGTTCTTAACCGGGGGCAATTTGTCCCCCAGTGGACATTTGAAAATGACTGGAGCCAGTTTTGGTTGCCATGACTGGGTGGGAGGTGCCACCAGCAACTAGTGGATAGAGGTCAGAGGTGCTCCTACACATCCCACCACACACAGGAGAGTCCCGCAGAAGGAATGATCTAGCCTAGAATGTTAACAGTACTGAGGCTGAAAACCCCTGCTGTAAAAGCTTAACTGGCATGAATGAGAAAGGATTTCTTCCCCACAAGCCTGTTTAATCCTCAACTTCTCAGCTATGACTGTTGAGAAGGTAATAAATGAATTGTGACAGAAGCAAGAGAAACCACCTATGTTGCCCTAATTCAATTTTCTCCAAATCAACCCCAGATATAAAGGGTCTCAGCACTTCCCAGGATCAAATTCTAAACACAGTCCCACACCAAAGCACACAACTATCTCCTTACATGACAAAGCCATGTACCTTCAGTTAATATTTTACCCCTGACCATCTTAGTGAGTGGTAGTCTGTGATTACATATTACTAGAAACTCTGAAATGTGTCCCATTTCTAGGGATCTCAGTGCCATAGAAGAACTCCATGGTCTTCAATGTCTCTCACTAAAGCGTAACATTATTTGCCAAAGGCAATATTTCAGGGACTAAATAGGGAGCTATTTTTTAGACCTTAACTCCGTCTCTGGACAAGCTCAATTTATATACTAGAATATCTTTGTCTACATCATGGAAATTTTTAATAACAAAAGAAGCAGTAGTAAGTTGGAAGTTTGAGAACTGCAGCCATAGAATGACTACAAAGTCAACAAGAAAAACACCAGATTTTTTCACAAATAGCAAAAGAGCCTGAGAAATGGAAAGACATTCTGACCTCACTGGCCAGGCATAAGGACACAGCCCCACAGCAAATGTGTGACACTGGGTATATACAGAAGTATCACAGCCAGAAAAGCCTGGTGGAGGAGAAAGCTCTAGGAGAAGAAAAAGTTCATTTTCCTGAGATCCTGGACTCTGGTTCCTATCTACTTTAGTTCCAATTTTTCTCACCCTCTGTTCATCAAAAGCACGTAAAAGATGACAAGTACAAAGACTCATGTGTGAACCCAAAGTGGTTTTTGAACCAGGAACCAGCATGCATCTTTACAAGGCAACTTATTGTTATTAGTTATACTTTATAGTACTCCACACTTATAGTATATAGTCTATTAAACCATATCAACAACAATATGTCAACATACGTGAGGATTTGGTTCCATAGTGATTCTTGAATAAGTATAAGGAAGTTCTCCATACCATGCTGTAAGTCTTGGTTGCTGATAAGTTCTATCTGAGAAAGAAAATACAGGGCCTTTGAAATGGTTCAGTGCTATTTAAAGTGTACTGAGTGTCAACTCTCTGCCTTACAATGGGCGTGAAGTTATGAGGAATATAAAGGAAAAGTAAGGATGGGCTCTGACCCAAGTCAAGGTTCCATCTTCATAGAAGATATGGAAGAAAAGATAAGAGAAGGTATGTTGGCAGACAGAGCACGGGCCAAGGCTCCAAGATGACAGCTTGTGTGACTTGCTCATCTGAGTGATGACATAAACAAGAGAGGAAAAAGTTACACTGGGGAACAGTAGGACTTGGATGAGAGATGATCTCAAAAACCAGGATATGGAGCCTGAACCATAGGACAATTCCTGGTGTCCATAGGAATTCGTGGCACCAAAATCCATACAAGTAATAAGAGAAACTGTTCACTCATATGTCCAGCATTGTACAAGCCCTTTTGATTCCAAATAAAGGCAAAAGTGCTATGACAAACTGTAGTATGTTGCAGATTTTACTCAGAAGTTTTTGATGTTTAAATTTATGTACACAGGGAGTTATCCACAGATCTGTTTTCCCTAAGCTGATATCATCCAGGACAATGATAAGAATAATAAAAGCAGTTAATGTTCACTCACAGCTTACTTTGTACCAGACATTCTGTTAATAACTTCTCAGGCACTATCTCATTTAATTGGCACAAAAAACTTACAAGGTAGAAAGTATTATTAGCTCAGTTTTACAGATAGGAAAATCAGGGATCAGAGAGTTACTTAACTATAATTTGCTTAAAATTAACAATTACGGCTCAGCGCCTGTGGCTCAAGTGGCTTAGGCACCAGCCACATACACCTAAGGTGGTGGGTTCGAATCCAGCCCGGGCCCTCCAAACAACAATGACGGCTGCAACCAAAAAAATAGCCCGGCGTTGTGGTGGGCGCCTGTGGTCCCAGTTACTTGGGAGGCGGAGGCAGAAGACTCACTTGAGCCCAGGAGTTGGAGGTTGTTGTGAGCTATGATGCCATGGCACTCTAGCCAGGGGGACAGCTTGAGGCTCTGTCTCCAAAAATAAATAAATAAATAAATAAAATTAACAATTACTTTGGGTGGCACCTGTGGCTCAAAGGAGTAGGCCACTGGCCTCATATACCGGAGGTGGTGGGTTGAAACCCAGCCCTGGCCAAAAACTGCAAAAAAATAAAGAAAAAGAAAAGAAAAGAAAAACAATTACTTTGAGTGGCAGAGCCAACAATCAAAGCCAAGTTTGTCACCAAAAGCCCTCTGAAGAAACTTCTGGGAGGTGAGAGGAGGTTGCCCTGAAAAAGATAACTCCTATTCTTTTTTTTTTTGGTAGTTTTTGGCTGGGGCTGAGTTTGAACCCACCACCTCTGGCATATGGGGTCAGTGCCCTACTCCTTTGAGCCACAGGCACCGCCCCTAACTCCTATTCTGACGTGTAACAAAAATGAAGTCACAACAGTCGGCCCTTCACGTCTGTGGGTTCCACATCTGCAGATTCAACCAACTGAAAATATTCAAAAAATACAAATAAAACTCACAGTATAACAACAATTTATATAGCACTTAAAGTATACTGGAGGATGTCCGTGAGTTATATGCACATTCTATGCTATTTTACATAAGGGACTGATATTGGGGGTCCTGAAGCCAATCCCCCACAGATACCAATGGACGAATGTATATACTTTGCCTCTTTCTTTACAGAAAACTTAAATTCATTTACTATTCCAGAAAACAAATTCTATGCTAGAGCACAGTCGCCCCCCAGTGATCACTTGTGGTATAACAGGTACCGGTGATGATGCCCACAGAAGAGCAGCACGTTTCAAGTCAAGTAATAACTGCTATGTCACCTTTACAAGCTCAAGAGTGCACAGACACTGAAGCTAAAGAAGACTAGATTCTTCTGGTAAAAGTAAAATGAAAATAAAAAGTCACTAAGAAGGATCACAATGTATGCAAGACAGGGTTAGAAAAAACATAGGTCTATAAGTGTCTATGAAGAAAGAAGAAAGTTGGCACCATTTTAACTAATAGAGGCAGTGAATAAACACAAAGGAAGATTAAGTATATTAAGCCACCGTTTAACCAAACCAAACCAAACTTTCTTTGCTTCCTTGAACTCTCACCACTTCCCTTTTGCCTCTTTGATCTCTGGGCCATTAGCCTGTTGTTTCTTCTGCCTGGAATACTCCTTCCTGTCTCCTCTGACTGGCTAATTCTATTCATTCTTAAGATCTCAGGTTGAAACTCTGTTCAAGACTAGCTGTGGTGAGCAGAGGCAATGGAATTAGGAAGCATTCTGGAGAGGAACACCAGGCAGCAACAACTGCAGCCTCAGAAATCCACTTACCCTCTCTGATGCCAGTCCTCTGTTTCCAGGGAACATCTTGACAAAGCTGTTCCAATATCCAGTCGGCTTCTTTTGAGTCAACAAAGCCAGGATACAAACACACCCTTCATGCAGAAAGAACAGTTAATAATCAAAAAACATGGAAAAGATGGGTTAGACTCTAATTGTTAGTGGAATAGTTAATCTGGATATGTCTTCCAGTGGGTAGATGGAATCAGCTCCCATGATAAGCAGAGCCTAATACCACACAGGTCATGATGTTCCTGATGTTAAACAAACTCCTTTCATGTTGAGACAAATAACAGCAGCAGGGAAGGATAAAGGGACAAGGCATGAAGGCTTTTACAGATCATAGTTCAAATATTACTCCAGCACCGCTTAGATGTGAAACCTTGAGCAGGTTACCTAATCTCTCTGAACCTTAGTTTTGTGATCTGTAATCTGAAGTGATATCTGCCTCACAGGGTCACAGAGAAGAGTAAATAGAATAACTAACAAAATGCATGGTGCATGGCCCTGTGTTATTTAAATAATTGAAAGTCTTCTGAGACGATGCTGATTCTAGGGGAGGTCAAGATAAACATTATCTAATGAAGGTTCTTTCTCCCACCAAATATAAGCTTATTTTAACAATTCTAATTTAGCTTACAATCATTTTGGATATCTTTCTTAAGGAACACTCTGAAAGCCCACAGAACATTCTCTTGAATAGTCTTGGTGGCAGCAAACTTTACTTTTTGAAGGTGCACTGGATTTTCTGAAAGAGCCAAAGCTCACCTGAAGCTGTACCTGGTTAACAGTGACACATGTGCAAAATAATACCAGTGGTTTTCTTTTTTTTTTTTTTTTTTTTGAGACAGAGCCTCAAGCTGTCCCCCTGAGTAGAGTGCCGTGGCATTACAGCTCACAGCAACCTCCAACTCCTGGGCTCAAGTGAGTCTCCTGCCTCCGCCTCCCAAGTAGCTGGGACCACAGGCGCCCGCCACAACGCCCGGCTATTCTTTGGTTGCAGCCGTCATTGTTGTTTGGCGGGTCCGGGCTGGGGATTCGAACCCGCCACCTTAGGTGTATGTGGCTGGCACCTTAGCCGGTTGAGCTATAGGCGCCGAGCCACAAGTGGTTTTCTTGTGTGACTTGCTTCAAAGGGGGGTTCCAACAAAGGCTATAACAATGTCAGTGCCAATAGACTTCATAGAACCTTCCAAGTCCAGCAGGAACTTTTAAAAAGCAATTTCTTCAGATGTGTAAGTATATTAATAACATACATTATTAATTGTATGTTGCATAGTGTATTGTTTTGCTATACTAGGGTAGATTTCAATGGCCAACTTTCATATTAAGTTACTGTGTGGCACTAGAGAAAAAGTACTCAATCTCTTTATGCCTTATTTCTTCTTCTGAAAAACTGGGAAGTAACAGTTATTAGATTTGACAGGAGGGCTGATAAAATGTTTTAAAGCTGGAGATACTATATAAAAAGGAGATAGTACTAAATGTTTACTCCCCAGGAATTTAAGGGGCAGAAGTTTTACCTTTTTCAAATAAGGTGGTTTTTAAGAGAATATAACTTGGTGATAATTATACTCACTGCCTAGTGAGGGTCTACTTACCTAGATACGCCTGTAGGTGACAGGCTGATTTCATGCACGCCCTCTCTGCTAAAGAAACAAAGGAAACAGACTCGTTACTTTGAGGCAAAACAATACATTGCAGCTTTGGTCCAGTGGAAAATTCTAATTACCCTTCAAAAATCTCACTTCCTCTAAACCAGTGGTTTTCAACCTTCCTGATGCTGTGGCCCTTTAATACAGTTCCTGTGGGTCACAACCTACAGGTTGAGAACTGCTGTTCTAAACCTTTCCTAACCTTTAGTCAAGGCAAATAACATAAACTATCTCAACCGCTATATTACTAGACTGTAAATATAGATTTGTTGTTTCATAATGTATAAGAATATAATTTATCTGTTTACATGTCTATTTCTTTTACTAGACAGTGAGCACCTTAGGGGCAAGGAATGGGTGACTATTCTATTTCCCAGGGCCTACAGATAGTAGATGAGCAATAAAGGTTTACTGAATTAACAACATATAAACTGCTGCAGCTGCACCAGGTAGTATGCGGTCCATAAGAAAAGTGACACAGACTGGATAGGTTCATCTATCAAGACCACCGTGTCAGATCCTTATCAGAGAGCAATTACATTATAGAGAATAACGTAAAGGAACAGTTCTCATATCACCCTCTGCCACGGTAGTTAGCAGTACACGATCTCTAAGCTAGGTTCTTAGGTTCATGTGTGAACCTCTTTGACCCAAAATGCAGGCATAGTTGTCATATGTATTTACTACATTTCTACACTGAGTTGTGTGTAAAGTTCCCAAGAGCATACAGAGAATACAGTACTTTAATGTGGCATATTTCGGCTCACATTTAGAAACTTGCCCATTTTAAACGTGCAGGACATTTCTGGCTATTAAAAAAAAAATCTACCATATGTATACATTTATGAGCCATCCTGCAAACAGCCAAACAGTGTAGCAGATTGTTCCTAGGCAAGAACATACACCTAATGGTAATTTGCTAAAATAAAAGAACAGTTTCTACTAATAACTGATCTACGTCAGGTGGAAACGGACAAGCAGGAAGAGTTAAAGCATCTCTCACCAAATTTGGATAAGAACATTTTAGACACAAATCAATATAAGAGGAATATTTACCATCATTTAATTTACTCCTAAACAATTATATAGTTTTAAGAAATGGGTTGTAAGGTCATTAGATTGCTAGCAGCTTTCATAAACATTACTAGTAAAATAGCATTTAAAGGCTTCTCAAAAAGCCATGCTTCAAAGGCTCAGGAAAAATCCCCCTCTGTCTTTATAAAAGAGATGCTTTAGCTTACTGTCCACAGATTATCTGTGAAATAGGGCCAAGAAATCCACACCAAGATCAAAGTTTAACATACCAAGATCTTGCTGCATTTTCCATACTATAAACAAATTCAGAAAGTCTTTCCAAAAGATCAAATTTACACACATTTCAGATAGGAATATCCCAGCCTTAAATTAAAATAGTTATTGGGTCATTCTCTTCTAGATGGAAAAAAAAAAGGATGAGGGAAAGAACCCAGGCTTGCCATTTCACTATGGGCAACAGTCACAGGAAGGCAGCAAATTACTTACTCAATCACTCGTGGCTCTGGGACTCTCCGTACTACCTGCAAGGAAATAGGCAGATCTTACTTCTACAATAATTTCTAATCCTCAGGGAGACTGACGCAATATGTCCTCCCATTTCTGGTTAAAATAAATCAGATTTAAATCCTAGCACTCCGGGAGGCAGAGGCAGGTGGATTGCCTGAGCTCAGGAGTTTGAGACCAGCCTGAACAAAAGCCAGACCCCATCTCTAAAAATAGCCGGCATTGTGGCAGTTGTCTGTAGTCCCAGCCACTCAAGAGGCTGAGGCAGGATGATCACTTGAACCCAAGAGTTTGAGGTTGCTATGAGCTATGATGCCATGGCATTCTTGAGGGTGACAAAGTGGGACTCTGTCTCAAAAAGAAAAAATCAGGTTTAAAACTATCCCTTTTTTATTCCAATGTCTCGCTACCCCCATCAGAGACCCTTGTCTCTGCTCTTCTTAGTATTACTTCACATTTGCTGGCCGACAATAAAAGATGATACAATTAATCAATTTTTCTAGCGGTCTGCAGCTTTAGAAAACCTTCTATACATAAAGGAAATTAGAAAAAAAACTAGAAAGCAAATAAGGCATTTTTCTAGAATAACTAAAATTTTCATCCAATTCCAAAGATGTTTGCTCAGTAGCACTGAAGACAGCATGGTTTAGGACTGTTAGAACTTAGATAACCCATGTAAGCTCTAATTATGGTATATTGTAGTATTGCCTCTATCCTCAAATCATGGTATAGCCTCCCTTCCAAAAAAAAAAAAAAACAAATATATGACCATAAACTGGGGACAGACTCAGAAGCCCCCTCAGACATATGATGAAACTGAAATACTTCACTTTTCATTATTATTATAGTCTTTTAGCTGTGCTATTAGTAAATTTATTCAGTCACTATATGAGCATCTACTACATGAATACAGTTTATATAAGTACATTTATGTTACTGTTGAAGGAGAAACAGGAATTTACCTGCTGGGGTTCTGTGAACACAAATTGTCTATCAGACAGACGGTCCTTGTTCCTCCAGGTCTGACCAGGCATCTGATGGAGATGGCTCTTAGCAGGGGTAGCTGAAGCAAGAAAGAGAATAGCCTCAATCCAGGGGAAAGTCTGTTCTCATCACTTCTACTAAGCAAGGGCCAAAAAAATCCACTTGGAGATGACCTCTGTGTCACCTAAAAATTAACTGGTACCTCCAAACACACTGAAAGACTTGAGGGTATGGACCAACTATAAGAATCACTAAAGACGTGCCCTTAGTTCATCATCAACAAAATCAGACAAAATATGGCACATTTTAAACAATTATTTAACATTTACTATTAATGGGAATCCGTTACAAACCAAAAGGACATAAATAAAAGAGAAGGATGGCTGTACCCACACATGTGCACACCCCCCCCCCCACAGGTGCTTGCCTGGCTGAGCAACCGCCTGGTTCTTGGCAGGGGCAGCCCAGGCTCCCTGCACTCGGGCTCGTCGTCTTTTTTCTTCCATGTTGACCAAAGAGGCTTCTGCTCTGAGCTTTCAGAGGATTTTGTTCCTGATTCAAATTACACAATGTTATCTGGTTTAAAAAAAAAAAAAAGTGATTTTAGTTAGGGTTCTGAAATTTAATACTTTCAAACAGAAGAGATGACTCAATGGTAGTCAGAGCTTCTCTGTAAAATCAACTTCTGTCATTACAACATCTCAATCAAGGACTCTAAGTGTGCAGTCTCCAACTCCTGAGCTGTGGACTGGGAGGGGTCTGCAGCCTGTTAGGAACTAGGCTGCACAGCAGGAGGTGAGCAGCTGGCAAGCAAGGGAATCTTCATCTGTATGTACAGCCACTCCCCATCACTCATGTCCCTGCCTGAGCTCTGCCTCCTATCAGATCAGTAGCAGTATTAGATCCTCATAGGAGGACAAACCCTACTGTCAATTGTGCACACGAAGGATCTAGGTTTCATGCTCCTTATCCGTTAGATGATCCATCTACTGCCTGATGATCTGAGGTGGAGCTGAGGACATAAGCCAACACACTTCTAGTGTCACTGTCTCTCATGACCCCCAGATGGAACCATCTTGCTGCAGGAAAACAAGCTCAGGGCTCCCACTGATTCTGCATTATGATGAGTTGTATAATTATTTCATTATATATTATAATGTAATATACAACACTTAAATCATCCCCAAACCACCCACCTCACCCCCAGTCTGTGAGAAAATTATCTTACATGAAACCAGTGCCTGGTGCCAAAAAGGTCAGGGACTGCTTATCTAAGTCATTGGGAGATGCTGGCTTTAGTAGTCACCTTTTTTAATATTGTCATAGTACTTTCACTTCTTTCACAAAAAATTGCATGTTAAGAAATTCCCAAACCAGGACTTATCACAAAACACATTATTCATATTAGCCCTCAAGGGAAGAACATAAAAAACTGTAAACCTCCTGTTTTCATCTATGTTGAGAAATAAGCTAAGACTCAGTTTTCAAGTGAAGTTACATATTCCATGATCACCGGCTGCATTAAATTTCTTTCTTTTTTTTGCAGTTTTTGGCCGGGCCCGGGTTTGAACCTGCCACCTCTGGTATACGGGGCTGGCGCCCTACTCCTTTGATTCACCTGCACCACCTGGCTGCATTAAATTTCCCTGGAAGCTTGTTAAAAACACCCATTGTTCACCTCCAGAAAATCTGGCGTAAATGGATATAGGTATCTGTCTTTATAACAAGCAGTGCAGTGATTTGACAATATGCAGGCATGTATGGGGACCACAAGGTATAGTGGCTCACCCAAAATCACTCAAGAAATCAAGAGTAGGTAGATTAACATTCAATTTTTATTAAGTTTTTTTTTTTATTGAATGGTAACTATGTACATTAATGCACTTCTGGGGTACAGTGTATTTTTATTAAGTTTTTATCTTCAGCTAACCGAAAATAACTGAAAATTACCTGATAATGGCCAGAAATACTAATTTGACCTTTTACCAATAAAAAATGTGCCCATAGCTAATACAGGAGTATGCACAGCTACAAAAGAACAAACAAACAAACAAACAAAACTGAGGAAGTTCAGACCACACGTACCAAATCTATAATCCATTTCTTTATGGGTCTTCCCAAAAAAACTATGTATCTCAAGCTTTCCAAAGTAACAAGCTCATTTGATAGCTTGTTTAGCCTACAGACTCCCAGGCCCTTCCTCCCTCCTTCAGTAGAGCTAAGCCAGGCTCAGGAATCTGTATATTTAACAAGTTCACTCAGGCGATAAGCAAGTAATTCGGCCTGTTTAATTGGGGGTGGGGGGCAATGACAGAAGCTGCCATGTGTCCAAAATAATTATTGGCCCAGAATCAAATATCAGCTATGCAATCCCAGGAGTTTCTGTTTGACTTTTTCTTTCAATTAAAGAAAAGCTTATCAAGACAATTAGCTGTGGTCCCCAATTAGCTATTGGTTACCTGCTCAACACCTTGCTCTGTTCACTGGAGAGCCATATGTTATATATAAGGGAAAAACTGTTGGAAAACATAGATTCCAGAGCCCCATCCCAGGCCTATTCAATTTGTGGAGTCCCAGAATTTGTTAACTAGTACCACCCTCCACCCAGGAATTCTGTACGCAGATAAAGTTTGAAAACTCTGCTGCAGTGTAAAACAGGGGACCCTGGCGCCATTTGAATCTAGAGCTGTCACTTCCCAGCTGCATGATCTGTGGCAAATGACTTCGCCTTTCTAAAGCCCCAGTTTCTTCCTCAGTAAACAGGATAATCAGTACCTCCCTCATAGCCGCGGTGCAGATTAAGGGAGCCTCGCAGGTGAAACAGCCTGGTCCTAGGTAAGGATTAGTTAGCTTCTTGCCCTAATTTAGACTCTTCTCCTTCAGGAGGCCTAGGATGAGGCCCCGAAGGTCGCCCTGGAAGAGACCCCAGGGGCAGTTCTCACACCCTCAGCCGCGGTTACACGGCGGTTAAGTTGGGACAGCGCACCTGCTGGCGGAGCCGGGAGCGCAGGTCCAAACCCGCTCGGCCTTGGAGCGGACTCCGCTGTCCCTGACCAGCTCTGCCGCCGGTGGTCCGGGGAACCTTAAAAATGAAGCACCAACCAGGGAACCTTAAGAATGAAGCACCGACCGGGGAACCTTAAGACTGAAGCACCGACTCGAGCAACTCCCAACCACAGGCCGCCGCATCAGACACTTCCTCCCGACACGCACCGCCGCTGCCGCAACTTCCGGTGCGCCGCCTAGAGTCTGGAAAGGCCACGTTCCTGGCACATGTAGAGCCGGTCGTTCGGGTGCCGTTGAGCTTGCTGGGGTTGGGACGGAGGACCGGGATTGGGGGCGTGTGGTAGAGCGGTAATGAGGGATCAGGGTATGGCAAAGTTGGACGTAAAGCCTTGTCTGCTAGGCCGAGGTCCCCGGGAACTAGAGACGTCCAAGCAGTGGCATCCGGTCCCAGCGGGGCTGGCGGAAGGGCGAGGGAGTTGGGGGTGTCAGGTAGTGATGAGCTAAGCAAAAGGACTTGCATTTTATCCTGGAAGCCATGGAGAGGCTAAAATGCGCCTCCTTTTTGTTCCCACTGCAGCTTGTGCATAGCTCCAATCACTGCACTCACAACAGGGCATAGAACCTTAATTCATCTTAGGTCTCCAGTGCTCAGCGGATTTTGTGTAAATGAACAGACCTACTTTTTGGTCCAGATCCACCATTTACTAGATGTGTAATGTAGGGCAAGTACTCCGCTTCTTTTTAAAATGGACATAGCTCCTGTTGGGAAGAGTAAATGAGATAATATGTTTAAAGAATTTAGCACAACGTTTGGAACAGAATAGAAATTCAGTAAATGTCCAGAGTGTTAAGAGTATCTTATCTTCACCCCATTTGAGCTCTTGAGAAACATCTTTAAAGTGGTCATGTTAAACTATGTACCTCCCAATGTGAAATATCAAAAGTAGTACTGAATTAACCATTTTGTACAAGTCATTTTCTAAGATCTACCAAAGCATAATCACTGTGGGCATCTTTAAGCCTAGTATTAGTGCTTACTTGCAGGAAGCTTAGTGCACCCCATTATTGTATCTATATTGTTACTATCAAATCCTTTTTCACATTATACACTAATACGTTATTTTTATTCCACTTTGTGACATTGAAGGAAAAATGATTTATCTTAAAACTGAAAAGAGAAAGTAGTAAGGCCAGACTACAGTTTTTGTCTGTTTTGTCCTTTTTTTTTTTTCTTCTAGCAACTAGTAATTTGTCAGTGTCTGCTTCTGGTGCAGGAACCTTGGCTGTATCTTCCAAGATACCATTTCTTTCTTTTCAATGATTATAGTTTTGAAACAGGAACAAAGAAGTCTAGATTGAAGAGTTCCTAAAAGTAGTGATTAGCACCTCTTCTACCTCCAAGTAGAGAATTTCTCAAAAATCACTCCATGACTCCTTTTCATCTGAAATCACTACAATTTTTAAAAAACAGAATCACTTGCATTTGTAACAAGTTCCCAAGTGATTCTGAGGCACAGAAAGTTTGAAAACTGGGACGCATTTGGGGTGACAAATTGCTCTGGTTTGTCTTAGACTGAGAGGTTTCTCAGAACACAGAACTTTAAGTGCTAAAGCCAGGACAGTCCTAGATGAACCAAAATGGCTGGTTGCCCTAGATACGTGTGTATATATAGTATTAGAAAGATGTTCTTGATGGTCTTGGAATACTCTTTTGGGTCTTGGTTTCCTTATTTCTAATTTGCAGTATTTGGGTTTTCATCAGGAGGTGGTGGTAGAGACCATGAGAGAGGGAATCAAAGTGAAGTGCATTGCCAGTTGTCAACCCATTGAGTCCCTGTTCCAAACCCACCCTTGACCCCCTTGATTGCAATATTGGAACATTTCTCCCTTGCCATTTTGCCTACTAGCCAGTAAGCTTCATCAGTGGAGGGTGCTGGAGCAACACTAGAATAGGAAGGGGCTGTTTCTAGTTCTAGTGTGCTCCTCTTAGCTGGCTCTTCAGCACACAGTGGCCAGCAGTATTTAACTATTCCCTATGGGTGACTTAGAAGGTTAGTTGAATTTACCGCCTTGCTAAGTTTTTCTTGTGAAGTTTAAGGCATTGACCGGAAAGGGCTGGAATCCCACAACTTGAAATAAGAACTCTGCTTGTACTGACAGTCTTGAACAGCCAAGTCACCTTGTGCCGCCTTTGGAAGTAGCTTGGCCTCCTATGTCTGAGGATACTAGTAATCTTTTGCCTGAAAACACTGCTAGATCCTCATCTGGAGCAGATGACTTGAAAAGAGAGGCTCATTCTCCATAAGACCCACCACAACTTAACTATTCCTCCTGCTCCATTGCTACCTGAGCCATAAATAGATTCAAATCTCTTAATGCTCCAGGTGCACACTATGTTATAAGACAAAATAGCTTGCACACTAAAAGAATTACAAGACTTTGCTAATTTATAGCAGCAGGAAGATGCATGGAAATGGATTCTCAGTGTTTTAAACAATGGAAGGCAGTATATAATACTAGAACAGGCCAAATTTATGTAGGTGCAATTACCAGAGATGCACATACAGATTTATTGTGTTGATGCATCCAACTAGACATGACTCTGAGAGCTTACTTGGTGGATTTACTGAAGCTTTAATTCAACAGTGGTTTATAGTTAATGCTATTGAGATATCAAAGCATGATGTGGAAGAGGGAGACCAAAGATTTGGGGCGGGGTGAAATGTTAGACTGAATTTATCGTGTATGACCTTGACCTGCACACAACAGACAAAAACTTAAAAACTGTGTCTCACAAGAAGGATCAAAAGACACTCCTTTCTAGTCTAAGACATTGAGATATACTTTAGAGAAGGGAGAAGGCTGTGGTATAAGCTTCTCCACCACTTGGACCTTATGATGTAGGAGATCAAATGATGGTCAATGAGCCTGTGGCAAATAGAGATGCTGTATGAAGCCTCTACCAAGCCCTAACGGGAGAATCACAACTCCTAGATTGAAGCAAATCTATGATCTTTTCTCCAGATAACTGTTCCCCTTTTGAAAAAAATAGCTCTGATTCACTACTTGGCTTTGATAGAGACTGAATGTCTAATAAGGGGACATCAGGTGACCCTATGTTCTGGGCTTCTCTTTATGAACTGGGCATTGTCTGACTCACCTAATGGAAATTGTACATAAGAGACTGAGCTCAGGCAGATCCAGAAGGTTTGGGTAATTTGCATGAGCAGGTGGCTCAGACTTTTTTTTTTTTTTTTTTGGCAGTTTTGGCTGGGGCCAGGCTCAAACCCACCACCCCCAGTATATGGGGCCAATGCCCTAGTCCTTGAGATGCAGGTGCCACCCAGTGGCTCAGACTCTTAACACTTGTCTCTTCCTCAATCCATGCCTAGCCTCTTGGAGTGTTCCTTACCTTCATTACAGCCAGTTGACTGAGAAATATTTTCAGATGGCCTGTTTTACAGATACGTGTGCATGATATGCTGGAACCACTCTAATGTGGATAGATGCAGCATTATAACACCACTCAGGTGTGACCTTGAATGATAGCAGTGAAGAAAAACCTTTCAAGTGGTCAGAACCTCAAGCAGTATATATGGCTGTCCACTGTCTCTATAGTATGAGGAGGCCAAAAGTACAGACCTATCCTGATTCATGAGGAATGACTACTGGGTTGGCTGGATAGTCAGACACTCGAAAGGAGCAGGAATTGAAAGGCTTATGGCAAGGAAGTCTGGGAAAGAGTGAAGTGAATGGCACAGACTGAAGATATTTATATCCTGTGTGAATGTCCACCAATGGAAATTCATTGCAGAGCTGGCTTCCAATAATAAGCTGGACAAACAATACAATCTACCAATGTAAGTCAGCCTCTTTTGAGGACTTGTTTGATAGGCCCATGAACAAAGTAGCCATGGTAGCAAGGATGGAGGATATGTGTGGGCTCTACAGCGTGGACTTCCCTGCCCAGTGCTGACCTGGCTAATGCTGCTGCTGCATACCTAATCTACAGATAGCCACAACCAATACTAAGCCCTCCATTTGTCACCTCCCAGCCAGCCACTTGGTAACAGATTGATTATTTTGGACTTTTCTCATCATAGGCTGATTAGAGACTCATCCTCACTGGAATATACAAATATTATAGGTGTAGATTAAGGCACCTTCCTTGTCTATATTGCTTTGACCAGTGCCACCGTCTGTGGACTCACCAAATGTCTTATTCACCATTATGGTACTCCCCATAGCATTGCTTTTGATCAAGGAACTCACATCACAGCAAAGTACATAAACGGGCTTATGCCCAAGAAATTAACTTCCCACCACCAGCTGGAAACAATTGGGATAATTGAAAGATGGATTGGATTACTGAAGATAGTTATGGGCCCAGTTGGGAGACAATACCTCTGTATTATAGAAGAAAGATTATGCCACTTAACCAGAATACATAGCACTGGGAATTAAGGGTGGAAAATGAGAATGACTCATCTCATTGCTTCCCATCCCAACAACACTGGGCAGGGCTGGTTTGAAGGTCTGAGTTCCCAGGGTAGGAATTCTTCCACAGGGAGGATCATGCCTGGAACCAAGAGGATTTTCTAGTACTTTGTGTCCAGTAATAAACATGAAGAGAAAACAGCAGCAGCAGAAATAACAAAAAATATATCAGAATGATTAATAACTGGGACCAGGAATGAAGGTTTGCATTGCTCCAGGTTTTCAGTGCGATCAGCTGAAGTCCTGGCTAAGGGCAAAGGAAATCTGGAAGGGGCAGTGGAGGAATCAGCCATAGCCATCAGTGATGGTCTCATAACTAGTAACAGAAATAGATACTGAGCTTCATGTAATTTATCTTTGCTAGGTACATGTATGTCCTTATTTGTATATGAGAACCATTTTCTTTCTTTTCACCATTATTTCATGGGCATTTTGTTGGAGGTCTGTTTCTAGGTAACAGAATATTCGGTAGGATTATGATTGAATTCTAAGAGTATTTACCATGGTCAGCAGTGGATACAGTGACTGTTAGAATTTCATTTGGGGGAAACAATGAGAAC